GGTTAATCCCATCATTTCAATGGGTTTACTTTTAATTGCCCTTTGGGAACCAATCTTCCTTGCAGTAGAAAAAAATACTTTTAACACAATGGATATAAAAATTACACACATACATACACAAACTAATTTGTTTTAAAGTTGTGGGGTTTTTTTTTGAAAAAATAATTAAATTTTCATTAATCTTTTACACTACAGTTACATTTTTTAACATTATTTTCCCAAAATTGGGACTCAAAGTATATTACAATTAAAATTACAATGCAATTAAAAACATATAAAAAGTGAACATTAAAATAAGAATAGTGTATTCACAGTATTAAAACAATTCAAAACTCTACTTAGAAGAGTAAAAGGAAATTTTAAAAGACAAAAAGATAAAGCTATTAAAACAGATCAATAAAAAAATACAGCATCCCCTAGCCCATTTTTTAAAGACCTTCAGTTTTAAAAGCCAGTTGAGTTAAAAAGTTTTTGTCTGCCAATGGAAAAGCAGCAAGGAGGTCATTCTGGCCTTCCTAGGAAGGGAGTTCCAAAGTCTAGGCTCTCTCTCATGTTTCCACCAGCCATGCTGGTGGAAGATTTCAGAGCTCAGGCTCATCTCAAACAGGGAGATATGGCCTGCCATATAGCCTGGATCCAAGTCATATAGGGCTTTATAGGTCATAACTAGCACCAGAATTATGCCTGTAAATAAACTTACTTATTATAAGTTTTAATTGTATTTGTACTCCTTTACTATAAGTTTCATTGAGTCCCATTTATGGAAGAAAGGCAGGATATGAATCAAAACAAGGCATTAAAAAAAGGAAATAGAAAAATAATAAATGTCTCTTTGAAATGGTTGAGCACTGAGAGTAAAAGCTCACCTGTTTCCTGAGCACCATTTACTTAAAGTGTACATTTTGAGGTTTGGAATTATATTCTAGAAATTTTTCTGTTGTTGTCTAGAATCACCTTGGTTAGTCCCAACTTTCAGTAGACCTACTGAATTAACTGCTGTATGGTGAATCAACACACAGGTAAACTCCATTAATCTAACAGCAATATTCTATTTGGGATTAACACTAATTACTTTGAACTACATTTACTTTCTGCTCTGTCTCCAAAAATATTTTTTCCTCACTTCTCAACAAGTAGACATTTTCTGGTGACCAAAAAACAAACTTACATCTTTTCCAGGCTGTCCCTCTCGGCCAGGGGTTCCTGGTTGGCCGGGCTCCCCCTGTAACAAGCAGGAGAGCAATGCAAAATTTTACTCTTATGGATTCCTAATGGGCTAGCTCTTGTCAGTTGGACTCCCATTGATGGGCTTCCAGGATTTTCTTTGATGGATGGATGAGGAGCTGTGAACTATTTCTATGAAATAGCTTTACTTCCCAGTGGTGAAGTAATACAAGCCATCAAAGAAAAGGGCACCTGTTCCCACCACCACTGTATTTCCCCCTCCCCACTATCAGACTGAGGAACACAGCTTAAGGGCAGTGTCAAAACTCCTATGGAGAATATATCCAAAATAGTATTAAAAACAGTAGTGGAAATCAAAAGGAGGTACAGATTGTGAGTATTGCCTCATGCAGGACTTATGCGTTTTACTTACCCTAGAGCCGGGGGGCCCTGCATCTCCTCTGGGTCCCTTAAAACCCTGAAAGTAGAAATGGACATCTGTAAGGATACTTTTTCCAGTTATCCAGCTGTGCAAATATAAGATTCCCAGTGTTGTCTAACTGGGTACTTTCCCACCAGATTTGAACTAGTTTAAGAATGGAAGCATATTTGTTTGACATCATTAATATCACACTTTTCCTCATGGTAGTGCTCTATCAATCCATGGCCATATGAACTGTTTTCTGCTGCCTTCTGGGAAGAAGAGGGAAAGAGATTGGGGTTGCCAACTGTCTCCCAAAGCCAGCAGCTGTGTGAATCTGCACACAGCAGCTGGCTCTGGGAAGATGCTGGTGGCCACAATTGCTGTGAAGGGGAAGAGAAGAGAAGCAGAACCACACCCACACACAGAGCATGTTTGCCTAAGAAGAAGAACTGCGGTGGAAGGGACCCATCACATTAAGTCAGTAATGGAATACCAGTGAGACTGAAATCCTATTGATGGGTTTTGCTCTCCTATGAAAAGGTGCTCTATAGTAATGAATGGAATGCAAGGCAGCAACAGAATGGACATGATGTTGTGTGCTACATTCTAGCCAAAGATTCTTTTATCCTGCTTTTCTAACCTTGTATGGTAAAGTTCTTGGGCCAAGCTGACACAATGCCACCTTGTTCCAGCTTTACCAAACCTATCTTCCTTCTACACCTTTTCTCTCTCTTTCCTTTGCTTTGTGTGTCTTGTCTTTTTTAGTTTATAAGTGTGAAATCAGAGCCTGAGTTTTCCTGTCTATATTTTTTAACTAATGTGAGTATTTTGGGAGACTGTATTTGTCTACAAAACTGGATCCCTTTGAGGGATGATTCTGTCTCTTTCAGATATGAGTGTGTGTGAGCACTAGGGGTATACATATTCAACTATTTCATCCTCACATACAAATTATTACAGTATTTATCTCATCTGTGGGAGAAAACAAATATTCCCCTGCAATATTCTTCCCATATTTAAACAGCTCTGAGTATTGCAGAGAAGTTATTCTGCAGAGAAAACATGTGGATTTTTTCACACACAAAAACATCCTGTTTTCGTTCCAGACCAATTCAAACAATGTTTGAATACCAGGGAAATTTTGAACAAAATTATTGGTGATCTTTATTCTTTATTTTTCCCAATAAGATTTCTTACTGTTGAGAAACTCATTTCTCAGTCTAGGAATTAATAACTATAAATATTCTTTCTGTTCCTAGTGAGCTCTCTCTCTCTCTCTCTGTTTCTCTTGCACATACACATGTACAAACACACACTCCTGCAGTATAGCTTCCGATTGTCTCTACTTACAGAATTTGTCCTTCAGCAAATATTTATGTCATATGTGTTGCAGGAAGTTCTGTATTTCCTAAGCAATACATCAGATATAGCATGTAGTATGTACATTTCTATACCACTTATCAGTGCACTCAGAACTCCCTAGGTGGTTTCCAAGGTGTAAGCCAATTGCCCCCAACAAGCTGGGTACTCATTTTACCAACCTTCAAAAGGATAGAAGGCTGAGTGGGTCTTGGAGCCCCATCTGGGATCAAACTCACAATCTTGTGGCTGCAGTACATGGGTCACATACAGCTAAGGTATTTTTGTTTGTTTGTTTGTCTTTTGCAGTTCCTGGCCCTCATAACCTCCTCTGAAGTACCCCAAATGAAAATAGTCACAAACAAATTTACATTTCTGCTCCTGATAGCCTACATATTTTGACACTGAAAGAAAGTTACACTCCCCCTTAGGATTTACTTTGCTGCCCCTGCTCCTCTCAAAACCCCCACAAAAGTACTTCTTTAAGAAAAAGAAAATATACATCTGTCCACTTCTGGTATGCAATTTCTAAGTTTTCTGGGACTAGTCAGATCTTCAGTGTATCCTTGGGACCAAAAACTGACCTATTGACTGCAGCAGAGAAAATGGCTGCCACCACATGGCGGCCGAGGGCTAAATAGCCCTCAAATCTCGTGGGTAATCTCGTGAGAGCTAAAGTCTCACGAGATTACCTGCCATGCCTTGGATCCCACAAGATCCAACCCGATTGGCTGGGTGGCCCCAGGAAGGGTGGGACTTCCTGCCCGCCCAGCCAATTAGTTGTCGGCTTCCCTTGAGAGGCCGGCACAACAGAAAACCCCTCCCGACGTGTCAGGGGGGTGTCTTTTGTGCTGGACAGTAGAGAAATACATCTTCCCATGGGTGATCTCACTGAACAGAGATAATATTTTTAATAGTACATGGCTGTTTTCAACAAAACCTACCGGTGGGCCCCTTCCTCCCTCTGGTCCTGGGAGTCCAGGTTCTCCTGGCTTGCCCTGAAAAAGAAATGCACAGTTATTAGTCTGACAACAGAAAGTCATATCCATCATAGGGTTCCTCACTTAAGGAGAAAGGGAAAACAATCCACACAGTTAATTCATGGACTAATTACTATATAAAGTGTTTGTTAAAGGTTGAGTGTCCCTTATCTGAAATTCCAAAATATTCCAAAAACCACAACTTTTTTCATTGGTTGTTGAGATAATGATACCTTTTCTTTCTGATGATTCTGTATTATTAAACTTTAGGCCTTTGCAGACTGCCAGAAATAGTGCACTTTAAATTGAGGCACTGCCCTGGCTCAGTGCTAGAGAATCATGGGAATTGTATTTTTTTCTGGCACATTGAGCCTTCTGTCAGAGAAGGCTCAATGTCTCAGAAAAAAATACAATTCCCATGATTCCCTAGCACTGAGCCAGGGCAGTGCCTCAATTTAAAGTGCACTATTTCTGGCAGTCTGCAAAGCCCCTAAGTTTTATGCACAAAATTATTAAAAATATTTTACAAAATTACCTTTGGGCTATATGTATAAGGTATATATGAAACATAAATGAATGTTGTGTTCAGACATGGATCCAGTTTCCAAGATATCTCATCATGTTTGTGTATGAAAATAGAGATCTTCCAAAATCCAAAACACTTCTGGTCTCATATACTTGAGTTAAAGGAGACTCATGTATATGACAAATGACTCTGTAAAAGTCAATGGTTCAGGCATGGAGCCTGATATATAATGAGATATTGGAGTCTTTTTGCAACACACCCAGATGTGGAGAGTTCTGATTGGTCTTTCCACATCTGGCATATTTAATGAAATAAAAGACTGGAAGAATCTGTTGAGTGTAATTCCACAGTCCCAGTATTTAATATTTAATTGTTGTATTAATAATTCATATTGTTGTATGCCTTCAAGTCATTTCTGACTTATTGCAATCATAAGGTGGACCTATAATGGGGTTTTATTGGTAAATTTAATCAGAGACAGTTTGTCATTGCCATCTTCTGAGAGTGAAAGAGTGTGGCTTGTCCAAGGTCATCTAGTGGGTTTCCACGGCCAAGCCAGGATTTGAACCCTGGTCTCCAGAGTAATAGTCCAATGCTCAAACCACTACACCACACTGGTCTCTAAGTCATATAATAATTCATATGTTAGACAAAATCTGCAATGTCAACATTTCAAAAGATAATTAATAGGACCATAGGAATGAATGTGCCGACTCCCCCTCCACCCAATTCTCATGTCAAAGCCATCTTAGCCAATTCATCACATGTCTAGAAGCAATAACCATTAAACAGGATGAAATAGATGTGGTATGTGGCAGCTCAACCTATGTTAACACCAAAGGAATGGATGATAAACAGCTGAAAACATGATTATTAACTATAGTTATAATTGTTCCAAGATGGTGATGATAATTTTGGCCACTTTACAAGTCACAAAGTAAACTCCTACAGTAGCAGTAGGTAGAATTGTTCTCAACTCACAAAATAATGCAAGTTCTTTTAGAAATATACATGTGGAAATTGTATAAAACCTAAACAGGAAAAGGGACCATCTCTCTACTTCTGGCACAGAAAAAGCTGTTTACCATTTTGTTTGTCTATGACCCAAATGCCAGTAGTCTCTCTCTTGTCCACATCCTTACCTCTAAGACAAAAGATTGTTGTATTTTTCTCATTAATGTTCCCTACAATAATATTGTATAAAACAGTCACACTTAGTAGCATGAATATTATATGAACATCTTGCAACAGCACAACATTTCAGCCAATAGTAGTCTTGTGGATCACAGGAAACTGAAGAAAAATATAGCCAGATTTTAGGTGATTGTATAATATGTAAATTATATCTCCTTACTGGTTCTCCAGGAGGTCCTGGCTTGCCATCTTTGCCATCCTTCCCAGAAATACCCTAGGATTGAAATAAAACTTTATGATAAAAACTGGATTCCAAACAGTTATCACCAACCTGAAGATGAAAAGTTTTGACCCATTACAAAGGTTATAGCACTATGATTCCACTTTAGCTGTCATGGTAACATCCTATGTAATCCTGGGATTATCAGTTTTGAGGAGGAGATTTAGAATTCCCAGCCAGAGAGGTCTAGTTCTTCCCCAAACTACAGCCCCTGGACTCAACTGATTGTAATCATGGCAGTTAGTGGAATCATAGGAGTATCACATGGGGGGAATCAGAGGTTTAAAAGGGATTATCCCATGATAATCCCACTAAAATCCTTCAATTATGCACAACAATTTTACACGTTGCATAAAATGTGTTATTAAAGTGGTGAGAAAGCAGCATGATCCCGCATCTTTTTATTTTTGAGATTTTAGCATTAATGCATTCATTATATTGCTTTATTTATGCAATTGCTATAGTGTGAAAGCCAAATTCAATATATTTGTGTGATAATCATCCTTTTTAATCATGTTGCTGGTTTTCCCATGGTTCTGTGGGGCGAGTTTATTTCCTGTGCTGCATTGCCAACAGACATTGCTTGTTGGCAAGAGGGTCACTGCCCTTTCTTTTCTGTACTGTGGATTATATCTTTCCAGCAATGTTTTCTAGTGTTCTGCATGTGGCAAGATGGTACTTCTGGAAAATTAGGGAAAAGGGTAGTATTTTTGTAGGGAAGGTAGAGAAAAGTTCTTAATAACATTGTTCATTTCTCAGGGAGATGCCACCAATGTAACATAAAAACCAATGTACGAACAATGTACAAACAATGCAACAAAAGAAAATTTAACAAGCAAAAACCTCTTAGGATGAGTTGAAAGAATAAGGACCTCTGCAGGCTCGCCCAAAGGATCGGTCTGGAGGCAGAGTTGGGGCAGGGCAGCCACACGCCAGCGGCCCCAACCCCATGTTGCCACCATCCTGATGCTGCACACCATTACACATGGTGTGTGGCATCAGAACGCCCTTCCAGAGCAGTGTTCTGACATGCTGCACCAAAAAGGGTGCCGAAAAGCTGAGCACCAGCTCTTAGGGTGGCCTTTTGCAGCCTCTGAAAGGATAGACATTTTGCCGCTCTTTTTGAGGCAGCAAAAGGGAGGATTGGGGCCACAGCATGGGGTTGCCACGGCCCCAATCCACCACTTTTTGGGGCAGCTTTGTGCCACCCATCTGCAGTTCCCCTAAGTAAAGCAAAGCAGCTTCATTTATATACTGCTTCATACCGTGCTACATACATCTGTAAGCTCATTGCCCCCCAACAGCTGGGTACTCATTTTAGTGACCTCAGAAGGATGCAGGCCTAAGTCAAGCCTGAGCCCTGGCTAGTATTGAACTGGCAACCTTGTGACGCAACTATCATGTCTACCTCTGTGCATGCATAAGAATACCATTTCCATATTATTAATGAGATGTCTCCAGCTGTGTGTGAAATGCAAAACTGCTTGCTCTTTTTATTATCTCATCATTATCTCATTATTATGCATTCATTCTCAATGAGTGTGAAAATTATTCACGTTATTACACAACATTAGCGGTTTAATCTCAGGATGCTTTAATCATGGTTTAATGATGGGATGGTGATGAATGTGGGCCCCATGTGATAAACTCCATAGTGCTATAACTGTGTTGTGTGAAAAGGAATACTGGGAGTTGCAGCCCAATAACATTTAGAATGATTTCTACCCTTGACTAAGAAAGTAAAGCTGACCCCAACTCACCTAGTGTTCATCCTCCCCCAAAACCACTCTACTTCCGGTTTCACTGTGGTGAAAACAGTAGTGGCCAGTAGCTTACATGTCAGTGGGGCACTGAATTATCTCCAGGTTTCAGATTGCTTTAAAGGACCTATCTGAAGTGCTAAACCTATTTAAAAACAGAGTACCTGAGATAGCTGGGATTAAAATCTTGAAGGGATGATCACCCCATTGACATGGAAGCCAACAGCTGGATGGTGATGATTTCCTAGGTATCTAGTGTCAATCATGGGTATTTCTGTTATTTCTCATAGAAATAACACCACACCAGCATGTAGTGATGTAGTGTCATTCCCATGGGATTTATGGACAATAAAAATAATATTCAGTGAACAAGACACAACACGGTGGGGGATGTTAGCACATTGTGAGCTCTGATCCAGTTCAGAATGGAACCCTGTCTCATGACCTGTACTCTGTATAGATTCTAAGTACCTTGACTAGGTAATGAAGTCCTTTGGGTTCCCCATGATTTCCAAATAATTTTTTGTATCAAATGGTTAAGAATACATGAATAAATTATTAATACTCACCACAAGTCCTGGCAATCCTGGTGGCCCCTGAGGTCCTGGTGGCCCTTCTTTACCCTGCCAAAGAGAAACAGATGTGACAATGCTGATGAAACATTTGAGACAAAATATTCCAAGAGAAACAGCTAATCTTCCACATTTATTGCAAATACCATTTTAGGCATTATATTCCAGATACATTGAGAAAGTTTTTAAAAAATCACAAAAAAACAAAAACCTTCTTGGTACACTAAGTATTTCGGTCTGCTTGGTTTTGTTTTGTTTGTTGGTTTGTTTGTTTTGGGTTTTTTTAAAAAGCCCACTGGGGACCATTGACTATCCTAGTGGATAGTTCAGCTAACATCCAAATTCTGCAATGCATTGGCCTGATTCTGTCCAATCTGGAATGGATCTGGATTGGATTGTTTCTGTCCAAATGGTCTCCAGGGGGTATTGTTTCTCTCTGCTGCTTCCCAAATCACTATGGTGTAATGCAAGGCAGGATAGACTGTGGCTTAATAAAGAAGGGCTAGCATGGAGTTGGAATGACAGCTTTAACTTCCAATCCATGGCAGAAATTTAATTTGCTTTATCTCCACCTCTAATTGAAGAGCTTACATGGTGGTTGCATTTCTGATGTCAGTGATAATACATATTCCCATTTCCAAACATTCCCTTCATCTTATCTTGCAAGTTTAGGACCCACTGAAGTCTGAAAGAAAGAGACTAGAGACTGAAAAAACTGCTAAGAGCCTCTTCTCTCTGTAGTGTGTAGAGATGTTAATCCTTGACTGTTTCTTCCTTGCATGAGAAGACAAATAACTAAAGTAGTTTTCTCCTCACTGTGGTGGAAAAATGAATATCCCTCTGTAATATTCTGCCCACCTTCAAATGTTTCTAGATGTTGTACGACAAAACTTGTCTCCTATGCAAGAAAGCAACGCTTTTCTCTACAGAATAATCCCTGAACAACACTTTGGAACACTGAATACTAGATGAAAACTGTTTTTTGTTTTTATTTTTTTTTTAAAAAAAAGGCTCACTGGTCTATTATTATTCCCAACAGCAGTTTTCCAAATGTTTAGAAAACTTGTCATTTGACCTGAAAATAAATAATTGCAAATATCATTTCAATTCCTAGTGCACTGCCTCTTTGTTTTAATTTAATAAGGTGAAGGTGTTTCCCCCACATTCTTTTCTTCTGGAGTTGTGTACAAAAGCATTTTTCTTGAAATAAATTTAACTTAACCATTCAGGAGGTATATATACATGTCAGATAGAAGAGGAGTCCCCCCTCCCTCATTTTTTCTTTTGGCTTAATTTTTCAAATGCTCAGTAAAATCAAATAGCTGTCTCTTTTGAACTGAAAGGGACTGCCTTTCAGGATGCAAATGGAATTATGTGACTGTGTGTTTTAAAGGAGTCTTGTCTATGGACAGTTCTATGTCTTGTTCTATGGAGTCTTGTCCTATAGATAGTTTAATTGCATTTACCGGTAGTTTTTAACTTTATATATGTGTTTACTTAGGTCTTGTATGAGCTTTTCAAAGCCATTTGAGTCCCAGCTTTTGTGTAAAAGGTAGAATATAAATGAAATGATGATGATGATGATGATGATGATGAGAACAGACAAGAAGGAGGAAGAAATTGCATCAGCAGCAAAAGCAAGTTAAAAAGTTACTTACTATTTCTCCAGGATTTCCTGGTGGTCCCATTGGTCCTGGAGAACCCTCTGATCCCTAGAGAACAGGGAAGAAACATGTAGCATTATTTGCTTGTGATGCAATCATTAAAGCTAGGAATAATAGTGGTGCTGTTTGCTTCTTAGTGTTGAAACAGACTGGCACAAAAAGCTGGCTTCCAGCAGGCTTGGAGGTGTGGCATACAGACAACATATGCCC